ATATATATATATATATATATATATATATATATACTGTCTATGTAACTGCTCAACTGTAATGCCCCCCAAGTGACTCAGCTGCAAGTCCGAGGGTTTCTAACGCTAAAAATCGTGTTTCAATACCCGCGGTCGGCACAGCACATATAGCCCATTGTGAGTCTTTGCGATTAATAACAAACAAATAAACCAACTGTAGAACATTTAAGAAAAACATCAGATAATTGGTTGGCACATCTTAAACATTTACCAGGTTAATATACTTTAAACAGATATGAGATTGATATAACTTAAAACAGTTATTAATATAACTTCTACAAATATGAAGGTCATGTACTTTGAACTAACATTAATTAACTAAAATGGCAAGTCATATAGAGACTTTACTAACTTACTTTCATCTAGCATTTCGACTTTCAAGTATAAAGGTTCTCCAAGGTCAACTCCTTTGATATCGGAACCCGAACCGTTCACAACACGAAGTCGGATAGAGGGCGTCGGTGCTAATCCTGTGACAACTTGCGTTAAACTTTGAAACTCGCTGTAATGTATAAAATCATAGGAGTTAATCTAATTACTCAGTTCCTTTACAGTTTGCCACAATTTATTTAAAAGTTAAAGGAAAGATGTGAGGAACATTAATAGTTCACTAATAATGGCTGGAGACGGCTTGAATGGGTAATGAAGAAAAACTTTAATACAACAGCAAATGTACAACGTTTCGACAAGGTTTTGTCATCATCATATATATTATTTTCAAGATTTGCGTAGCTGAATGATGGAAAATCCATTATTAAAACCAAAACAACTTTTATGAAGTTTAAATTCGCAGGCCTGTTTTATTTAAACAAAATAAATATTTAACAAATATATCTACTGGATTCTTTATGTGTGTCTAGTTTTCTTGTTTTTTTATCTATAAGTCCTATTATAAACTTGCTAATTCCACATCACATTTTAGTGTAAAGAAACATTTCAGAACAACCTAAAAATATTTTCATACTGTACCTAAAATATTCTATCAACTGTAAACTTTAATCAGACTTCAAATTCTATGTGTATATTCAGAAACATTGTGATGTTTTTGGATTGATGTAGAGATTACGAAGATTTAAAATTGGGGAAGAGTTACGTAGTAAATTATTCTAAAAATACGTAGCAGTGCTATTACTTTGTTGTTTACCAAGAGAATATAATCAAACACAAGCATATATAAATACAAAGGATACCAAAACATAAATTTTGAGTATTTAGTTACGCCCCTTCCCCAAAGGCTCAGTGGCAAGTCCGAAGGTTTAAAAACCGGATTTCGGCATCCGTGATGGGCACATCACAAGTGGATAATTGTGTAGTTTTTCGTTAAACAACAAAACCAGCAAAGAAACAAAATGTTCAGTTGAACACTACTTATGTCATTACTTACTCCTACTTAATTTCCTCAGTTGAACACTACTTATGTCATTACTTACTCCTCCTTAATTTCCTCAGTTGAACACTACTTATGTCATTACTTACTCCTACTTAATTTCCTCAGTTGAACACTACTTATGTCATTACTTACTCTTATCTAATTTCCTCAGTTGAACACTACTTATGTCATTACTTACTCCTCCTTAATTTCCTCAGTTGAACACTACTTATGTCATTACTTACTCCTCCTTAATTTCCTTACTTGAACACTACTTATGTCATTATTTACTCCTCCTTAATTTCCTCAGTTGAACACTACTTATGTCATTACTTACTCCTTAATTTCCTCAGTTGAACACTACTTATGTCATTACTTACTCCTTAATTTCCTTAGTTGAACACTACTTATATCATTACTTACTCCTATTTAATTTCCTTAGTTGAACACAACTTATGTCATTACTTACTCCTCCTTAATTTCCTCAGTTGAACACTACTTATGTCATTACTTACTCCTATTTAATTTCCTTAGTTGAACACAACTTATGTCATTACTTACTCCTTAATTTCCTTAGTTGAACACTACTTATGTCATTACTTACTCCTATTTAATTTCCTCAGTTGAACACTACTTATGTCATTACTTACTCCTATTTAATTTCCTCAGTTGAACACTACTTATGTCATTACTTACTCCTATTTAATTTCCTCAGTTGAACACTACTTATGTCATTACTTACTCCTATTTAATTTCCTCAGTTGAACACTACTTATGTCATTACTTACTCCTATTTAATTTCCTTAGTTGAACACTACTTATGTCATTACTTACTCCTTAATTTCCTCAGTTGAACACTACTTATGTCATTACTTACTCCTTAATTTCCTTAGTTGAACACTACTTATATCATTACTTACTCCTATTTAATTTCCTTAGTTGAACACAACTTATGTCATTACTTACTCCTCCTTAATTTCCTTTCCTCCTCTCAGTCGAGTTGTGATTTCTTCATAATCACACGCAACGTCAATTCGACGGTCGCTTGATCTTAATATGGTGGGATGGTGTTGAACTATAACACTATTAGTGAAGGTTCCGTTTCCCTAAAACGTGTAAAATACAATTAAACTGTCTAGAAAAACGTGGATTTTGTTACTGATTTTATAACCCTCGTACCTCATTTTATTTGACCGGTTCTTTTGATTATTGTGTAAACAAATAATGCAAGATAGTCAATCAACCATATATTCTAGAATAGTTTACATGTTTATACTGCTTAGATCGTTTTCAAAACTTTCAAGAAAGTTCTAGTCATTAAGCCATGTACTCATCATGTGACGTCAATCATCCCTCTAGCGAATTACAATATTAAAGTCTAAGCCAATTTATATAGCCTATAACAAAACTGAGCTTTCGCACCATGAGAGGGAACAAATAATTTAACCTGTGCTTTCTTACAATGCAAAGGTAGCAGAGGAGTTAATAATGAATCCTCGACTCATAAAACTGGTATTCTATTTATTCGTTACATTCTTCTGATTTTTAACTCTCAAAGCTTGAAGATTTAAACACTTCTAATAAAATCACCAATAATTACTGACATACCTCATTCATTCACAGGAGATAATTCAAACTAACGCAACTAAAAAGTATAGAAAGTTTATTCCTACCATATTTCTGGTTCCACATTTCTTTCCATGTAGTGGAATAGTCAAGGTGATCTCACCAGAGTCTGCAGCGGTTACAGCGAAGCATTCGTGAGGATGATCCACAGAATAAACTTTTCCACGAAACGGTGTGGCCACCTTCAGGATAGCGGTCATTGAAGTGGATTCACAGCGCATCTCAACTAGGATAAGAAACAGTTCATCGCGTCAATACGTTATACTTGTTGCAATCATTATTTCTGGTTCATCACTTGTCGTTCTTCTCAATTTGTGTAAAAGTTAAATAACAGAGAGTTTGCGCCAGGTATCAGATGTAGAATCTGTGAACACGGAGTGTAATAGTCGTACTAGGCCTACAGTTATCTATAGATGTAATCGTTAATGTATATTTAGATTATCATAGTTTTCAATAGAGTTGTTTGAACATTAAATGTTTAAACAACTCTATTTATTCAATTACGTACCAGCTGCCTAGTGTAGGCTAATAATACGAAGAATTAAATTGTGGCGGAATGCTACAAGTTCTTCAAATACCTATAGAATAATAGGCTTCTTTTTTGTGAGTGTAAAACATTTAAATACACCATTTAGATTATTATAGTGTTCATAGGTTTGACTTTCCAAAGGCTTTGAAGTTGACCACCTCAACTCATCTTTATTCTTTACGATCGTTATGTCATAAGATTACTTAGGCAGTAAAGCAATAACTAGCAGTAAATATCAAATTACGCACGGTTTTACAGTGTAAACAAACACTCATTGAATCGTTCTTGTAGAGTTTGCCAACAAATATTTGACTTCTAACTGACGTAGTTTCGGTTATTCTAAACCTAGTATGGGAATCTACAAATGGTGGTTCCCGTCTGTAAAGTATTTCGGAAAAACGAATTGGTCTGTAACCTCTTACAGGAAGCTTTAATTATTGAATTAGCTTAAAATGAATTTAAATAGATATTATGCAGTTCGATAGTGAGTTTTATGTTTCAGGCATTGGCAGTGAGTTATTGTAGAAAGTGAACTTGGCTCTGGACGTTTATTTCTTCATTAGGCTTATCTTTTAGTCTTGTCTGTTGTGCAAGAGATAAGCTATATTTGGTTTACAAAACTCGCACCTGCTCCTTTGTCATTCATGTTGTGTGGCTACTTAGGCACCTGCTGCTTTATCATTCATGTTGTGTGGCTACTTAGGCACCTGCTGCTTTATCATTCATGTTGTGTGGCTACTTAGACACCTGCTGCCTTATCATTCATGGGGCTACTTAGACACCTGCTGCTTTATCATTCATGTTGTGTGGCTACTTAGACACCTGCTGTTATATCATTCATGTTATGTGTCTACTTAGGCACCTACTGCTTTATCATTCATGTTATGTGTCTACTTAGACATCTGCTGTTTTATCATTCATGTTGTGTGGCTACTTAGACACCTGCTGTTTTATCATTCATGTTGTGTGGCTACTTAGATATCTGCTGTTTTATCATTCATGTTGTGTGGCTACTTAGACACCTGCTGTTTTATCATTCATGTTGTGTGGCTACTTAGATATCTGCTGTTTTATCATTCATGTTGTGTGGCTACTTAGACACCTGCTGTTTTATCATTCATGTTGTGTGGCTACTTAGATATCTGCTGTTTTATCATTCATGTTGTGTGGCTACTTAGGCATCTGCTGTTTTATCATTCATGTTGTGTGGCTACTTAGACATTGAATGTGACAGTTCAATTCAATTTGTATCTGTTTGAAGCTGAGAACAAAAGTTTTAAACATTATCAATTCTCAGCAGCCCAGTTAGTTAAAACAACCCAATGGAGCTTTTGTCGATTTTATAAGAGAAACGGGGGAGTGATCTATACGTTAAGAAAATTCTGATAACAGTTTCGAGATATAAGCCAGGCGATGATGTGTTTACTTTGTTTCAATAAAATCGTCTTAAGACAGAAAAAGCTTGAGTCTGATACTCGATGATACACAGAGATAAGATAAATGTCTCTTGGACAGTCACAAGTCCGTGCTACTCAACAACGTTCTATCATCTCACTGATTTCTACACATAAACACACGCACATTTATAAAGTTTTCACACGCACATTTATAAAGTTTTCTAACATTATTGTTGCGTAAGAATAATTCGTTATATTTATTTTCTTTACAGTTTTACTTAATTTACAGCTAAAAGTCGCAGTAGATAACTTAACTCTAAACCTAAATCCTTACTTTGAAGGGAAAGTTACTCAAGTTGTCTAAATTAATATATTTGGAAGATTTTTATCCAAACCCAATCTCAATGTTTTCGATGTCACAAAACTGATAATATCTAGTATAATTTCACGTTTGTTTGGAATTATTATAAAATCTAATATGATTTAAGTGTTTTAAAAAACATGCGACGTGTTCATAAGATGTACCAGTACCTTAAATAAATGAAACATTACAACCACATTGCAAGTTTTATAAATTGCTCTACTCACCACGGGTATCGAAACCCGGGTTATAGTGTTGTAAGTCCGCAGACATACTGGGGGCGAGTTTTATGTAACGTGATTATTAATTGAGTTGTGTCCTGCTATGGTTTGAACGTAACTTAAAGTTAACGAAACACAGAGATATCACTAATTCAATCTAGTGGTACAAAAACTACATAACATGTACTAGTCTTAATATGTTTCGAGGTTACTTTCGATGCCACACCCAACAGTTGTTATTAAAAATGTTGCGATAAGTAATCGAAATAACAGATTCATAAATTTATTTAATAAACACGACAATTTAAAACAAATAAATGGTAATAAAATCTGTTTGTTTTGTTAATCTTTATAACACAATATCAGTAGATAAACAGTAAGTCCTTCTAAGAAACTATGCGTGCTTTAGGATTTAACTCTAACTCGAAGAACTGGTTTATGCATCAAACAAGTTGCTTTGCATGAGAAGTCTTAATCACTTTCAAGTCATGATGAGGATGGAGATAATTTATCAGTTAATTATAAAACTAGGGACATGGGAGAAAAACGTTTTATGCTAAAGACATCTAAGTTCAGGAACATAAAGCAGCCTTAAGCACGAAAAAAGTTGCAACGTCCTTAGAAAGTTCTTTGGTTGGGTTGGTCGGAGTTAGATTAAAATCTACTCAGTTCAGGTTAAAACATTTCTTTATTATTAGAGATATATTTGCTTTCATGGTGTTGGATGTAAATAAAAATATGACGAAACTTTGTTGATCTCTCAACCTAATTATTAAGATCTTTGTTTAAAATTGCTGCTAAACAAAATGTCATCAAATACTGAAATTCTACCAAGAAGCATAAAGCACAAAATTATGTTCCTCACAACTATGTCTTTCAATAGAATTCACTGTAAGATAAAAGAAAGAACACAGTGAAAATGTAATGTTCGTTTCATTTTAAAATTTCAGCTGTATTAGATAATGTGAATATGTTTTTAATCTTCGTCTTCTTAAACATCTCGTAAAAATACTAAGTTAGAGAAGGTTTTAATCAAACTTTTTGGTGCCACTAACCTTTCCTCTTCCGAAAAAAAAACTCTCCTTGTTAATAAATTTAGGAAAGCTTTCCTGACGACCTTCTCCTTGCATTAACAAACAAAGAGATGTATGTAATGTCATAAATACAAATAATTAACTCTTTGCATATAATTTAGTTAAGCAAAGAAAAAGAAATGCATTTATTCCGGAAGAAATTATTGTTCCATTAACACAATGTTGAATATTAATAGCCTAGAATTTTTGTCTTTCTTTGTTTTTAAGGTGAAGTTAGAACTATAGATTAGAATTTGAAAGCATCACTAGATGTTACTCCTTTTATTATTTATCACCTGCTAACAATTATATCAATTATCTTTTGAACTATCAGACATCTGATGTGATGCAAATTTAGTATTAATGTTTTAATTTTGTGTCAAAAGGGAAAAGGGCGTTGTTTTAACTTGGCGAATTTAATGCTGGATGTATTTTAATATGATTTACATACTAGGTGGAAGGTTATATTATCACCATATTTATCACCTATAAAATATTATTTAAAAAGTTCCATCATAATATTGACTTTAACAACAATCATACGCATTTTAAGAAAAAGAACGATAAACCGAGCATCTCCAATTGAAAACTTAAATCTTATTATATGATAAATGTTAAACACAACTCCGAGTAATATACAGAAAAAAGGGGAAAAGATAAACAGTGTTAACTTTATAGCACTGTTGATTTACATATAAAATAACAACATAGCTTATACTAGTTGAAAATCCTTACCTTCAATGCACGATCCAACCTCATAATATTCGACACTTCCTTCTGTGAAGTGGATGGCCTCCTCTGATAGAGAGTAAGAGTCCTCTGGTGACAGCAAGCAGAGTGATTTAAGAGGATCAAACAAAAAAGAGCGACATCGAAAATCGCCAAATTGAAGACAGGACCGTTGACACTGTTCTTTCGTGGTAGCTAATTGATTAACGTGAACGTGACTATGGACAATTACTCGGTTTTTCTGGAGATGAAAATGGCACTGGTTGGGATCTAAGAGAAGGGTGTAAAACCCACTGTTTAGTAAATAGTTTTAAAATAACCTATCTTTGCTGTTGGATTTATGTTTTAGTTAGAAACTTTAGAGACGTATTATGAAACTACGATCAGTGTTTTTAAGTTTACAATTCTATCCTACTCTCTAATTTGTATTTATGGTAAGATTACTAAGGCTATCTACCGCCGTCTGTAATTCTGAACTATTGACCACGTGGTAAATAGCTAGTTACCAACACCATACTTCCACCGTCCACGTTGTATTATGACGCACCCACAGCTCGAAATAAGGGGGAATATATTATGGTACCACACATCGGTTTGGTAGCTCCGAAACCCAGAGTTCTGGGATCTTTTCTGTTTCATGCACCGTGTTCAAATAGAAATTAATATCTATTTTTGAATATAGTTTTTACTGCTGATTTCAGAAATATAAATTAAAGTTTGCAGATGAAATGAAATATTTTTTTTTAGTTTGCTCACGAAACAAAGGAAGTACTTTTGGCATTACGTATATACCTATGTATTTAAAATAATTGCATAACATCAAGACAATACAAAGTATCTAGTGACTATGTAAAAAATTCAATGTGAAAATTCAGAAATATATTTAAATATTTGCTTGAAGGGATAATAATTTTCATGCCTACGACGCCAAACGAATTTGTTACGTCTCTTAACCACATTCCAAGTACTTTCAATTTGCTGCAGATTTCAGAAATATAAATTAAAATTTGGAGAATTGATTTTTAAGGTGGAAGAAATGGGGAAATATTTTCTTTATTAAAAATAAATAAAAATGAAATTATTTACTAATTAGTCTAACTTGATCTAACCTCACATAAACTGAACGTAGCAAAATAAAAAAAAATATTTCTTTTTATTTATACAAATTCTTATTTATATTTATGAAATCAACATTAAAAACTAAATTCAAAAATATATATTATTTTCTATTTGAAGGCGGTGAATGAAACAAAAAAGTTCCGAGTTCTGCCACAGGGCCAACCCGCACCACATTTTATCTGAATAAATCTGTTTTTTCCATACTCCGTGTTTAACCCTACAAAATTTCGACCTCATTGGCTTTTTAAAAAAACCATTTTTCTAAACTACTTAAGCACAAAACTCTTTGTGGATTTATTTAGACGGGGTCACTAGGGCGTGATTCCAATAGATTTAGACGTGGTCACTAGGGCGTGAATCCAATAGATTTAGACGGGGTCACTAGGGCGTGATTCCAATAGATTTAGACGTGGTCACTAGGGCGTGAATCCAATAGATTTAGACGTGGTCACTAGGGCGTGAATCCAATAGATTTAGACGGGGTCACTAGGGCGTGATTCCAATAGATTTAGACGTGGTCACTAGGGCGTGATTCCAATAGATTTATACGGGGTCACTAGGGCGTGATTCCAATAGATTTATACGTGGTCACTAGGGCGTGAATCCAATAGATTTAGACGGGGTCACTAGGGCGTGAATCCAATAGATTTAGACGGGGTCACTAGCGCGTGAATCCAATAGATTTAGACGGGGTCACTAGGGCGTGAATCCAATAGATTTAGACGGGGTCACTAGGGCGTGAATCCAATAGATTTAGACGAGGTCACTAGGGCGTGATTTCAATAGATTTAGACGTGGTCACTAGGGCGTGATTCCAATAGATTTAGATTGGGTCACGAGGGCGTGATTCCAATAGATTTAGACGGGGTCACTAGGGTGTGATTCCAATAGATTTAGACATGTAAACGTTGAAGAAATCCAAGTTCATATTCCTTCAACGTAAGTGAAGATATTAATGGGGCATGATTCTATAACCAGAATAGAGGTCATGTGATAATTAAAAACAAACATTTTGAACTGTTAAGCTGTACATGTATCCCTCAAGTGATGAGGACGAGAGACTTCTTATAGCAATTTTAAATAATCACCAAATAATTATTTCAACCAACTTGTTATGGTAAAAATTTAATGCAAGTTTTTACAATCATTAAACCTACAGTGGAATGCTTAATCGTATTTTCTCGTAAAAGGTGTTAATTCATACATATTTGGTTGTAGCTCTTGTATCAGTACTTCACATTCATACTTAATTGGATGTAGTTCTTGTATGGTTACTTCACATTCATACTTATTTGGTTGTAGCTCTTGTATCAGTACTCACATTCATACTTATTTGGTTGTAGCTCTTGTATCAGTGCTTCATATTCATACTTATTTGGATGTAGCTTTTGTATCAGTACTTCACATTCATACATATTTGGATGTAGCTCTTGTATCAGTACTTCACATTCATACTTATTTGGATGTAGTTCTTGTATGGGTACTTCACATTCATACTTATTTGGATGTAGCTCTTGTATGGGTACTTCACATTCATACTTATTTGGATGTAGCTCTTGTATCAGTACTTCACATTCATACATATTTGGATGTAGCTTTTGTATCAGTACTTCACATTCATACATATTTGGATGTAGCTCTTGTATCAGTACTTCACATTCATAAATATTTGTTTGTAGCTCTTGTATCGGTACTCACATTCATACATATTTGGTTGTAGCTCTTGTATCAGTGCTTCACATTCATACATATTTGGATGTAGCTCTTGTATCAGTACTTCACATACATACATATTTGGATGTAGCTCTTGTATCAGTACTTCACATTCATAAATATTTGGTTGTAGCTCTTGTATCAGTACTTCACGTTCATACATATTTGGATGTAGCTCTTGTATCAGTACTTTACATTCATACATATTTGGATGTAGCTCTTGTATGGGTACTTCACATTCATACTTATTTGGATGTAGCTCTTGTATCAATGCTTCATATTCATACATATTTGGATGTAGCTCTTGTATCAGTGCTTCATATTCATACATATTTGGATGTAGCTCTTGTATCAGTGCTTCATATT